CCCCCCAAAATTTGGGTTAACCTGCTTGTCCTTAAAAGCGACCGTTTATGTGCTGTTAGTGTTATTTATATCATAACTACTGTGTAGCCACCCTAGCACAATGTGCTGAAGGCCCAGGAAGTTGTCTCACTAACAGGGCAATCCCCAATGTCCGGATCGGATGCGGAAACCACTTTACTTTTTTGGGGGGTTTTTTGTTTTACTGTGTAGACCCCTCTCACCTTCACATTGACGATCGTATCCCGACTGACGTCAATCAACTTGAGTGACACCGCCTTGTCCCGCCTCTTGTTGGGCAGCCTCTCCGGGTGGAGATGGCGCGACTCGGTATACGCCACTTGAGTGACAGGGGAGGGGCCATACGGTCCCACATAGGGACCGCCCACCCGCTGTCGTGTTGCTTTCGCTGCCATGGCAACGGCCTCTTGTGGGGTGTGTCTCCTTAAGGTGAGTGCTGGGCGGAGTCTATCGTCAAGCCGTCGTTTTCTGTGAGAGCCATGATTGGTGGAGACTGTCTCCGGGTGACTTCACCGTGGCACGTTCCATGACTCTGAAACGAAAAGAAAAACAGAAAAAACTATACATTATTGCACAGTAAAAATTATACATTATTGCACAGTAAAAACTATACATTATTGCACAGTAAAAACTATACATTATTGCTCAGCAAAAAATATACATTATTGCACAGAGACAGTGTCATGAGTCACATTCAACACCAAAGAATCAAATGGTTCGAACATCTCATGCGACTACCAACACACCATCCAGCACAACAGGCTACATAAAATAAAATTCGATGGCAACAAGGTTAGAGGGCGACCGAGAAAGACCTGGATAGATGGAGTCAGGGAAACATTAACAACTCACGGCATCCCCCTGACCCAAGCTCTCCGGCTGGTGGCAGAGAGACGCCTCTTTCTTTCAGCGACACTCAAAAGGGTATAAGCGGCGGATAAAGGTAAAGTAAAGTAAAGAAATTCACTGAATTTTCAACGTGTATTTTTTATTGGGGGTGGGGGGGGGTGGGGGTCGTTTGTTTGTTAGTTTT